CTATCTATCTATCTATCTATCTATCTATCATCTATCTACCCATCCATTCATCTTACCTACCTATCATTTCTATCACATCCATCCATCCATGTCTGTCTATCTGTCTGTCTGTCCATCCGTCCATCCTTCCATCCATCGATCTATCAATCATCCATCTATCTTTTACCTCCATCTATCTTTGTCAAATTATTTCTGTTCCATGTTTATAGTGTCTCATGTTTTTTTTTATTGACTTCTGATTTTGTGCAGAAATAAAAAATAAAACGTTTACCACAGGATTCAAAGTCAGATAAGCTTTGAAAGAAAGAAAGAAAGAAAGAAAGAAAGAAAGAAAGAAAGAAAGAAAGAAAGAAAGAAAGAAAGAAAGAAATTCACATGGAACAAACTCGGGACTCACTCGGTGTCTGCTAATGTCGCTCGAAGCATTACCCAGATTGCGACAAACACAGCCGGAAGGCCTGAAAGATGGAAAGTGAAATGCATGGATAAGTTTCAGAATCAGATCGATATTTCATATTTGTCTACAGCAACCTCCCTGGTGTGTGTGTGTGTGTGCGTGTGTGTGTGTGTGAAGTGGGGTGGGGTCGTGTTGTTGTATGGTTAGCATTTTACTTGAGGTACAATTGACTGGGTTCAAATTACAGGTACTCCTGGACTTACGACCACAATTGAACGCAAAATGTCCATTGCTCAGTGTGACGACTGTTGAGTTTTGCCCCATTTTACAACCTTTCTCCCCACAGTTGTTAAGTGAATCACTACAGTTGTTAAATTAGCCACACGGTTGTTAAGTGAATGTGGCTCCCCCATTGGGGGGGGGAGTTTGCAAAAGGGGACGTGGCCACGGCCATAAATATATGAGGATCAGCGGCCGAGGCGTCTGAATTTTGATCACGTGACTTGTGGGGGTGTGGCAACGGTCGTAAGTGTGAAAAATGGTCACGACTCCTCTTGTTCAGCGCCGTCATCACTTAAAACAGTCACTAAATGAACTGTTGTAAGCCAAGGACTACTATTTCAGACACCTGATGTGAAGGCCCAGCTCTTTGCCAGGGGTCCATGATGGTAGAACGGTGGCAGGAAAGAGGAGGAGGCGGAAGGGGTGATGCCGGCGTTTTTTAGGATAGCTGAAGGGTCAGGATGAGGGCAGCCCCTCCAGGAGAAGGTGGACATGGCTATCTATGTGGTCACTCAGCGATAGGTCATCAGTCAATCAATCAGGGTGAACCGTTAACTCTCTTGAGATGTCCGAAACACAAGCGGAGCTTCCTCCCTCCCTTTCCCTTTTTTCCTTCTTTCTTTTCTTCCTTCCTTCTCCTCATTCCCATCTCTTTCCTTCCTTCCTCCCTCCCTCCTCCTTTTCCTCTGCTCTTCTCTCCTTTTTCTGTCCTTCCTTCCTTCCTTCCCCTTTTTACTTCTTCTTCCCCCTTTCCTCTGCCCTTCTTTCCTTTTTTCTTTCCGTCTCCCTTCCTTCCCTCCCCTTTTTCCTTCTCTCCTTCCCCTTTTATCTGTACTTCTCTCCTTTTTTCTTCTTCCTTCCTCTTTCCCTTCCTCCCCTCCCCCTTTTCCTTCTTTCCTTCCTTCCCCTTTTCCTGTGTCCTTCTCTCCTTTTTTCTTTCCTTCTTCCCTTCCTTCCCCTTTTCTTCCCTTCCTTCCTTCCTCTCTTCCTCTCCTTCCTTTCTCCCTCCCTCCGCCCACCCATCTCTTTCTTTCCCGCCTTTCTCATAGGAAAATTCCCCTGGGTTATTTCCAGTTTAGGCTGCTGCTGTTGTCCACAGCATCTCGGCCACCTCCCCTGCCTCCGTCCATCCCTCAATTCAGATTAGAGCAAGTACAGCCTCTTTTATTTATGTTTAATAAATAAACATCGGCAAACAACAACCAGCCAAAATTGGCCAAAATGGATTTTTTTTTAAAGCAGGGAGAAAGACTGCACTAGAGGCAAAAGATTAAATAAGCAAAAAGCTTATTACTAAGAGCCTCGGTGGCGCAGTGGTCAGAGTGCAGTACTGCAGGCTATTTCTGTTGGCTGCCCGCTGCCTGCAATTTGGCAGTTCGAATCTCATCAGGTTAAAGGTTGACTCGGCCTCCCATCCTCCCGAGGTGGGTAAAAGGAAGACCCAGATTGTTGGGGACAAGAGGCTGGCTCTGTAAACCGCTTAGAAAGAGCTGGAAAGCACTATAAAGCGGTGTATAAGTTTAAACGCTATTGCTGTTGCTAGTGCGATTTTTTTTTTTTTTAAAAAAGGATTTTCTAAGTATTTGCAGCTCCATAAGAAAAAGGTAGAATTTTACAGACTCCATTTGGAAATTATTTGCGGGTTATTAGCAATAGACAATCCCAAAATAAGCGGCCTTCTGTTTAACCCTTTTTGGTGCATAGCGATAGAACAATAAATGTGGAAAGTACGTCACCAGGTGATGACCATTGGGTGAATAGAGACCATATAGCCAAACATTCTTCTGGAAGACTAGATAGCAAAACATTTAATTTGCAAATCTATTCTCTGGCTGGATTTAATCCAGTTTAAGAAGCCAAATCTTCTTTTTTCTCACATTTTTTTCCAGCCTTTTTTACCTTCTGATTTGGCTGCCGAAGCTAGACAATATGGCACCTATCTCTGTGATAAACCTTTATCTGCATGGACAGAGGGATTTTTTTTAGCTCCTGCGGGCCAACTTCCCAAGCCTTTGGCAGAGAGAAATAAATAAAATAAAAACCTCCACAGACTCATTTATTTTATTATCACATAAAGTAATGTAATTTACAGCCTGTGTCTACTTTTTGAAAGTCATGTTGCAAGCTGGACTGTAACAAGCAGCAGCTTATGAGATAATAAAAGAAAATTGGTTAATTTTTTGAGGGAGAGAATGTCTTTTCCCTTTTTTCTTTATGGTAGATGAGTCTGTTAACGCAGATCAGACCTTCCAGGTCCAGAGCCAATGTTTCAAGGAATATTTCCCCCTTCCAAAGTAAAAAAAAAATCTGCTTTTTCTTCGCAAAAGTTTCTCTTTTTGTTTGGCCCTGCATTTTTTTTTTAAAAAGAACTCCTTTGGCAAGCTGTGGCATAATCTGAATTTTGGTTTTATGACTCCTATGGGATGGATTGGGGGGGGGACATTTTTGGAGGAACAACAAGCCGTCAATCAAAGAAAATGACAGAAAGGTGACACCTGACACCTGATCTGTTGCATTGCATGAAATTTCTGAACTTCGATGCTGGAATCGTTGCAGGTGTTTCTTAAACCTGCTGGATTCATATTGCAACATGCCTGCGACTCTAAAAACCAAAATGCCACAAGCGACAACTGCAATAACACCGCACAACCTCGAATTATTGCCAGGAAATTAACAGCTTTGATTTACGGGCAGTCCTCAACTTACGACCGCGATCGAGGTATTTGGGGTTCCCTTTGTAAATTATTTTGGTTGTTGAGTTGAGTCGAGGATCAACACTCAACCGATAAAGACTGAGATATTATTCATTCGGGGGAAATAACAATACAGATAGCCCTCGACTTACAACGGTTCATTTAGTGACCGAAGTTACAGCGGCACTGAAAAAAGGGACCCAGGACCGCTTTTCACACTTAACGACCGTTCCATCATCCCCATGGTCATGTGATCAAAATTCAGATGCTTGGCAATTGACTCGTATTTATGACGGTCGCCGTGTCCCGGGGGGTCACATGTGATCCCCTTTTGCGAACAAAGCCAATGGGGGAAGCAGGGTTTGCTTAACGACTGGGTTACTTACTTAACAACTGCAGGGGTTCACTTAACAATGGTGGCAAGTAAGGTCGTTCATTGGGGGGGGGGAAATTCACTTAACAACTGTTCTCACTTGGCAAAGGAAATTTTGGGTCAAATATGGTCGTAGGTTGAGGACTGCCTGCAATGATGATTATTTCCTGCGATGATATTTTTAAAAAAAATCTTGGTGGTGGATACGACAGTACAGGTAGTCCTTGACTTACAGCTGTTCATTTAGTGACCGTTCAAAGTTATAACGGCCCTGAAAAAGGGGACTTAGGTCTATTTTTTGCACTGATGAGTGGTGCAATATCTCCATGATCACATGACCAAATTCAGACAATTGGCAACTGACTCATATTTATGACGGGTGCAGCTTCCCAGAGTTACATGATCCCCTTTTGCGACCGTCTGATCAGCAAAGCCATCGTGGAAGCCAGATTCACTTAACAACCGTGTGAGTAGCTGCAGTGATTCTCTTAACAATTGTGGCAAGAAAAGTCATAAAACGGGGCAAAACTCGCTTAACAAAGGTCTCGCTTAACAACGGAAATGTTGGCTCAGTTGGAGTCATAAGTTGAAGTCTACCTGTATCTACAGACAGCAGAAGAGAAGAGAAAGAACCGGAGAAAGTCACAAAAGGAAGCAAAGGTAGGATCAATGGTGATAGCGCCTTGGATGCCGTCCCAAAATATTGGGAGCATCCCTTGAACACTATCTGCATTGACAAATTTCCCCGTCGGTCAGTTGCAAAAGGCAGTTTGACTCGGAACAGCTGACACCCTGTGGCAATCCATCAAACAGTCATATCTGCTTATCATCACGTCCTTGGCCAGGGCTCGAGAGGTGGACTGAAAGGCCAAATCCAGTCTGAACACCTGGCTGGCTGTGCAACCAGCCTTAATAACAACATCTGGATGGATGGAGCACTGTTGGCATTGACAATTTCATCACCAGCCAATTGCAAAAGGCAGCTTGACTAGGAACAGCTTAAATCCTGCGGCGAGACCTTTAACGCCATCACACAACCCCATCTGGATCTCCCGGGTCCATGGGAAGGACTCCAGAGGTGGACCTAAAGGCCAAATCCAGTCTCAACATCTGGCTGGTCCTGTGACCAACCCTATAATAATATTACGTACTAAGATGTTTCTAAGAGAATGGTGGAGGGTCAGCCTGAACTCGGGGCCTCCTAGAATTGCAAGGTCAACCTGGTGGCCCACTCAGGAAGGCCCTAATTCCAAAGGCTCAGCCAATGAGAATGGCCCTCACGGATTAGGTCAGGGGTCTCCAACCTTGGCCACTTTAAGACTTGTTGACTTCAACTCCCAGAGGTCTGGAACTCTGGGAGTTGAAGTCCACAAGTCTTAAAGTGGCCAAGGTTGGAGACCCCTGGATAAGGTAGTTCCATGGTTCTCTTGTTAAACTTTTCATGGATTTGAGAGTGACGGTATCACAAACTCTCTAAAATGTCCCTCTCTCACACACCCCTCCATGCTTCTACAAAATGTCCACCTTCCCCTTGGTCAGCTCAAGCTATTTTGGAGATCTTAAATGTTTCTTTCCTTGACGCCTGCAAGCAAAAAAACAGACCTTGGTTAATGATCTGCCCACCACTGCATCCCACATCCTGTTTTCAGCTAAAATTGCAGCTTTCCGTTCTCGTGTCCAGACAAATGTGCTCAGGGTAAACTCGAAGCCCTGAC